AAGAAACCAAAAATCGTCTTCAGATTATCCTCCCTGCCAGTGAACACCACGTTTTTCGCCGACCTATGGTGGACACCAGTGAGAAATCCTTGACTATACTTAACCCATTTTTTGTCGCGCTTCGCTATTACCACAGGATTGCCCACGAACCGACATCGGATACCGAGGAAAACCAAGACCGTGCATGCTGTCGTACAGTGACCAATGTGCATCCATCTCAAATTCGAGCGCGATTAGTGAAAGCTTAAGTTACGACAAGCCTGAGGGTGAGTGGAGTTTTCATTTCGTTTCTGAACACAATCGCATACACCAAAGGCACCGCGAGGAACCGTTGGGTAATTATAGGTGCTACCACGCATTGTACTCAACAAGTCCTTCCAGGTTACGATCACGCGTTTCTCTGTAAGATGCAGATCGCAAAAACAGTGTGCACTTTCTCAACTTTCTTTCCTTCCGCATGTCTATAATGCGACAATGCTACAATGCACTGCTCACCAAAGCTTAAAAAAGAAAAGAAAACGAAAGAACGTGCGTGGTTGAGCCTCAAAGTGGGACGCATTTTTCTTCCTCCTTTTACAGCGCTTTACTTGTTGACGTTAGCGCGAATTAGTCCTTCAGGCGAAAGGTCAATGTACCGTTTTTCCTTTTTGAGAGAACAAGGAGAGAGAGGGAGAGCAAAAAGTAGGCTTAAAAAGAGAAAATGAAGTGGTTGGAAAAACGAACAAAAGAAAAAGAAAGGAGAAAAAGAATAGCACAAAGCAAGCGAGGCAATAACAACAACAACGAGACAATAACAAAACTTGAGAAGCATGCACAGAGAGTAAATGCACTCCAAGGGAAACAGAGTGTAACTGCCGAAGCACATCGATGTTTCGTTCTTGGTAGCTGTGAAATAAAGGTGCAAATAAACTTGCAGTGCGACAAGATGGGAAGCTATAGGTGCCAATCGTACATATAATTTAACACATCCGAAGAGAAAATGGGAGGTAAGAAATTTCGTGATTAGAAAAAAGTGTTCAACGGTTTGAAGCACTTGGTACACCGCTATGGGAGTCCCAAATATGAGTGTTTGAGTATTTTAGAACAAATGTTCGGCGATTTAGAGTGCCCGCTGTGCTCTGGTATGGAGAGAAATAGCCTGTCCCAGTATGTTCCCCAACGCCAGAGGAGCTGTTGTCTTGCTAATTGCTCTAGATTTAAGCAAACAAGAATTAATAGAAACCATGTTACTCTTTTCGGGTAGACCTGATTTCCCCTGCAGGTGCATGACTTTCTATAGAGAGATATTTAGCTCTATTTTAAATCCGACAACTCTCTTAACAAAGTAGAGTGATCTCAAAACAGGGTGCACGTGTTTGTTTAAAAAGAGTAATTCACGTGGAACATCCGGATTCTATAAAGAAAAAACAGCAAATTACTTACTTTCTGTCTTTCACAGATTCTACCACCGCGATCAGCGGCTGTGAGTTAAATGGGAACCCTTACGTGCTCTGCGTCTTGAACCAAGGCCTTGAACCAATTACTAACAGCTAAATGAAGCCGTCGTGAAGAGTTGCTACCAAGGCAACTGACGCGAAAGAGCACAGGAACGGGAATTTCGGTGCCCGCACCATGCGGGAAAGCCACGTCACCGGAGCAGACACATAGAGAGGATCTCACCATCGACCCGGGCATTAGATAAAACAGTGAAAAATACGAGGAAGCATCACGTAGCCAGAAATGTTTTTTGGGAATTGGGTGAAGGGTGTGTGTGTGTGGGGGGGGGGGGCACTTTTTTGCATATATTGTATGCTCATGCGTGAACTTGCGCGTGTGCGTCTATACGCGCGCAAGCTATTTTGTGAATTTCGGGGGGGGGGGGGGGGGAGCAAACATTTAATTCCCGCCATTCGCACTAATTGATATGCCAATGTGGCGTAAATTACCGCCCCCCTGCCCCTTTCCCCAAAGACGTGGGCCAGCCACTAGCACTAGAAAAAACTGCTGTACTTGTGCAACGCTACACAGAAACAACTTTCACCCAAACTTTGGTGGTGGTAGGACGTCATACGGGACGTTTTTAGTGACGTGAAGGTGACTAGCAGCTACGCTATTGCGGTCGTTGGGATATGTAAACGCTCCACTAGCGCATTCGATTCACTGGTGCAAACGGGGAACTTTTCTGACGGGCAATGCATTACAGACGGCATTGTATACCACGGATGGTGTGAGATGAACGGCGCATTTCACACATGTATGTAGAACAACCGAGTGTAGGGCGAGCGTCCGTAGAGCTGGCCATACTGAGGCAGGAAGCGCGTGGACAACAACATAAAAAATGAAGTTGTAAGTGACAAGTGAATAAACGTGCCTCTACTTATTAATCATGGTGCCTAAGTAATACGCTTGGTGCGCGAGGGAACCGTGAGCTTCATCTCCCCATCCGAGGCGAGACTATAGTCGGTCTGTGTACGACATGCATCTGACCCTTCCCGACACAGTGAGGACACGAAACAGCCGCAAGTTTTCAGAATGCCTCTCGTATGTTTGGTTTGTTCTGCATTAATAACAAGCTTCTGCCTGCACGCCCCGAGTGGTACTGCGTGCGTCACTGCAAATTTTCACGTGCCGCTGTTTCCTTGTATGCTACGTCTATAGACATGCACAGCAATGTAAATAAATAAATAAATAAATAAATAAATAAATAAATAAATAAATAAATAAATAAATAAATAAATAAATAAATAAATAAATAAATAAATAAATAAATTACAGTGGTAGAATGGTGGAAATCGGATACTGCTGTCAGATCACCCCCCTCCCCCTTTTTTTTGCTATAATTTTCTAATCTTAGCCAAAGCAGTAATTTTGAGGAACGGAAAAGAGGGAGAAAAAGAGGATATAACTATGTAGCAGCGCAAAAACGGGGAATACGCGCCTTTCCTTCACTGCCTCCCGACAACCATTTCAAGAAACAACAGTATAACCGAAGGAGCAACTACCACCAGGAGTGATAAAATTCCTTGGTCAAGGAGGTCGCTTAAGTTCAGTTTGATACGCTAGCTGCGTTGCGTGCTCCTACGCTTTAACGCAGTTTACAGAGACTTGCGGAGGCACGCAAAATAATTCGGGGAACGTTTCATAGCGAAAACATCGATACCCAGCCGACACAATGCCCATACGATTTACACACTGGACCTTCGAAGTCGCCGTGCTCGCCTCGACGGCACCGTTGCAATCAGGAACAGGGTTTCGGCGACTGCTGATTGTCTTCCTGCGAGGCTGATCAACACCTCGTGACAGGCACTCCTGTTATCAATAAGTGAGATGTTTAGCGATATGATAAATGCATGGCCAGCTGGCCGCGCGTGCCGATCCAGGCGGTTGTGATAAATGTCAGGCTAACTGATGCTATACGTCAGGCCAACTTCGTCTGCTGACCTACCGACACCATCTTTTAATTTGTAATTACGTATCCTTCAGACGAATAGATCTAAACCACTTGATATTCAAGTGGGCACCACCAGAAAACAGCATGTTTCCGAGATCATTGTAGGGCAAAAGCAGGCTTCACTATCACAGGCAAAGCACTGCGGGAGCTTCCACTCCAGCAATTGCTTTTAAAACCTTCTTGACCGATACCCACTGTAACCATGTTACATACCTGCGCGCTGGCCACTCACACACGCAAATACACACGCCCAAGCACGCGACAACTGACACACCCCGCACTGAAGGCTGGTTCGTGTATGGAACCGAAGTTTTCTGTGGATTTTTCGTTTTGCCTACCAAGACTTATAAGACTACTTGACGGATGGGTTTTGGTGTCGCCATGTTGGGCTCTTAACCTGACAGTTTTATATATTTAACGACTAAACTAACAGTGCCGTGATTGATTATACACTCGAAAGTGGTTCATTTTGCTCACACGACGTTCCTTAACCATATATCACAATTGACGTCACGACATATAAAAATAAAGCGTGCATTTAGCAACCAAATGTAGCAGCACCCATATCGGTTACTACGTAAGGTTCTTTATAAAAGTGTTGCTGCGGTTTCTACCAGAGGCGGTGACAGAGGGAGGTGGGGTGGCAGCCCCCCGAGAATTTCAGTCTAGTTCTTTTGCCCCCCCCCCTCACTCCTCCCAAAGGAAAGACATGGTGGTGGTGGTAGTGGTTAGAAGATGAGAAAAGGCACCCAATTTCTGCAGCCCGGTCGGGAGCACGGCTCAGTGCCTGAAAGACATAGTCAGAACACAACGCAGCATACTTTTCCTGCCTTTCCCGCCTCCCCCTTCTCCTCTGCCGGACAAAGAAAAAAAGGAGGGGGGGGGGGGACTGGTCTCACTTCTGGTTCCTACACAAACAGGGCTGAACGATACATTGTGGCTGTGACAACGCTTTTCTTTATTATTTAGTTCGACATCACTACCACAACCTCAATGACCTTAAAGTGCAGATGGTTGAGGCGCAAAAAAAGATTTCTTGAAACAGGAAGAGCAGAAGAGAGAGAGAGAGAGAGAAACAAAACAGCGCCACTCTTCTGCTCCCCCTGTTTTAAGAAATGTTCTTTTTTTTGCGCCTCAGTTACCTGCGCCAAGTATCCACCATTTTGTCGAAGTCCTTTTGGAAGACCTTAAAGCGTCGTAGACTATTTTCTTACATTCTTTCGTACCACCTTCGCCCTTCCCGAGAACAGGGCAGTCAACCGAAGACACGCTCTGCTTAATAATACTTCACTCCCCCTCTTTCCTCACAGCCGAATTAACATAACGACTTTTGTAAGTCATAACAACTGTGACGGTACCAGACTTCCACTTTCCCGGTTCCGGATAACCGGCGTCGCGTTTTTTGCACCGTCTCAGTAAAGGCGCGAAACAATAGCGCGCTCGGTGAGAGAGAGAGAGAACACACGAGCGCGAAGGAGGAGGGTAGTGAGCGCAAGTGGCGAGCGGCTTCCCCCGCGCCCCTTTCTTCCCGACCTTGGCTCGAAGCAGCAGCGACTCAGGCGTACGCGATTCGCGTGTTTGCGGTTCCTCGCTCACCGGCTCAGAGCTAGCGCGCCTCGAAGGCCGTCCACACCACGCGGAATCGCTGGGTGCCGGTGTCACCTTTCGAGCGGACAGTTCGCGTGGCAGAAGGCCGCGATTGGAGTTGAGCAGTCATGAGCGGCTACGTCGGCGATCTCTCGGCCGCGCAGGAAGCCGCGCTTGACCGGGTGAGTGACCTATAATCAACAATTGTCGGAGTTTTACGGCACAGAACCACGATATGGTCGTGAGAGACGCCTTAGTCAAACGCTCCGGAAGTTTCCATCACCATGGGGTTCCATAACGTGCCCCTAAATATAGCTGCACGTACCTCTATAGACGCTTTCAAAGTTGCAAACGTTATCCCTCCTCCCCCGGCAAAAAAAAAAAAAAAAAAAACTTCCAGTCACCTAATTTATCAGCTCCTAACGTCGAAACTTGAGGCACGTTTTCAAGTTCTTTTCAAGAATAAGAAAAACCTCTCTTTCCTTTTTCGCATAAATGGAACGTGCGTAATGAACTAGGGAATCGTTCGTGATTTTTATGTAGCTCAAAAGAAATTTTATTTAAATATATTTTGCCGAACAAGGGAAGGAAACTGTAGAAAATCAGCGGGCTGTTTTCTAAAGGTCTTGTTGTCTCGATGCTAAGGCACATTGGTGGACTAAACCTCGTCATGAGCACGTTGTTTTCGGCACCCGGGTCGGCTTTATGCCCTCCTATAGTAGAGTACCTATAGTACTTTGAATTGTTAGCCACTTTTTTCTAAACACACAGGGTCTGTGTTTGGCGGCTTTTTATGCTCTCCTATAATAAAACGATTGACGGCGTTCAGCTCTCCCATAGTAGAGTACCGAGTGCTAGAAATCGTTAACCACTTATTCTCAACACGGTGAAAGATTCCGACTCCATTGTAATGTGGTCGGAATTCGAGACCGCGACCTACGGCTCAGCAGATAAGCACCACATTATCTAGGCCACTGTGGCGGGGTCGGATGAGAGACACAAGCGGAAACCACAGCTGCAACCATTTGTACACACGCAGTGCTTTTCGACAGTTATCGGTGTGCGAGATATCGTGTGACGTAGACCGTTATCTTTTGTTTTTGCTTGTGTTTTCATGTCCTACAAGCTTTCGCGAAATCGCATTTCACTGCGAACTTAAAATTGATTACGCCAATTTACGTCCTGGCAAACTCAGGCTTCGGCAACTGATATTGTGGTCTCGGGACGTTAAACCCCAACAATTATTATCGAGGGCTAGATAAAATTTAATCCCTTATTTTGACTATCTCACGCACTTTCACCCAAGCCCGGCGCTTAAATATCCATGCACACTCTCCTCCACGGAAAGACGCCGCTGTTCTAACGCCGCAAATCTAACGCAAGACAGCGTTCACTGCAGGCAGAACGCCATGTAATCTGCTCGGCAGTACTCAATTTGAAAGGGCACTGCTACGAGTACTATGGGTACTATGAACCAGTTAGCCCAAACCAAAGTACTTATCCTCAGAAGGTCATTTCCTGCTAAATCACTTTTGCGATGGCGCAGCTACATCCCTTTGATTAGATTGCTCGGACAGCTGGAGAGATAATGACGGAAGCATGTCAGATCGGGATGTGCGATTCGTTTATCATGAAAAAAAAACAAGAAAAAAAGTCCTCGTACGGTTTTGCTGGCATATATGAGTCGACATTTGCAATGTATGTTTCCTTCAGTTTTGTTCGCCTTAGATTATTTAGTGTGTAATTAAAGTTTATATCAACAGTATTTCGGAGTCTCCCGGTCTAACGGTGCAACGTCATGAAAACAGACAGCGTTGCCTTCGATAATAATTGTTGGAGTTTAACGTGCCGAAACCACAATATGATTAAGAGAGACGCCGTAGTGGAGGGCTCCGGAAATACCGACCACCTGGGGCTGTTAACGTGCACTTAAATCTAAGCACAAGGGCTTCATTTATTTTCGCCTCCAGCGAAAATGCAGCCGCTGCGGCCGGGATTCGATCCCTGAACCTGCGGGTCATGCCGAGTGCCTTAGCCATTAGACAACCGTGGCCGGTAGCGTTACCCCCGAGTTCATTTTGTAACCAGAAAGTGATCGCAGAAGTTCACCTGTGAGTATGCGTATGCCGCAGCGAACGAAAAGAATCGCAGACCTCAGCATTTATGCATCATGTTTAATTGCATGCTTGTTACAGTCGATATTGATCGGTGTTACAACAGGACGATGGCTGCGATCATGGTCGCGGGGATGACCACTCACAGATATTGCGCTCGCGGCAATGTGTCTCCGGAAAAGGGGTTATTAATTCGTCAATTTCTTATACCGTCTGTCGAAACGGGGTGCTCCTCATCTATGCAGAGGTCCTGTTGTTTTCGTGTCTGTTGTCTTCGTTCGCCGTTCGGTCAAACCTCTCAGATGTGGCCCACTTTCGCCAGACCAAACACTCCTGAACACTATTGACGAGTAAAGTGATAATGGGCGACGAGCTGAATTGCTAAAGCGATGCGGACTGTATATGGATATCGCACGTGGCGGTTACCAATAAGGTGGTTCTCTAGCCGATGAACAAGCCTGCAATGAACCTTGCTTGGGATGTCTGGAAGTGAGCTCATCTCCGCAGTCCATGATGCAGCGTTTATAAGAGGGAAATATAGAAGAGGAAGAAAGCAGGAGGCCCCATCCTAAAGTAGAGCGTCCGCACCAACAACGGTGCGGACGCTCTAGCCATGTGTCGAGCCATGTGCCCTGTTAGGATTTCCGGGGTTTGATGGCATCCCACCGCTGCCACCACTGCTATGAATCCGCTGTGTCGCGATGGTAGCGGTAGCTGAGAGCAGCAAGCAGCCGAACGGACGTCGCTGAAGCCTTTGCCCAGAGGCGGAATGGGGAGGCAGTCGTTTTGCAGAACAGGAACGTTTACTACAGCAGCTTATCGTTTGTACAAAGCCGGCCACGTGGGCTGGGGCAAAAATCCCTCATACATCGGGCCGGAACGGTCCGATACCGGTTCCCGGTGCTAGGCGGGGGTGGCGAAGACTTCCGCGGAACTGTACGTAGCTCGCCGCCGTCAGCGTGGATAATGGCGCTGGGAAGGTGGGAGACATCGCTGGAACTGTGAGTGGCGTGCCTCCGTTCCTCGGTTTCCGTGGAAAGTGGCGCTGGGAGGGGGGGTTGGGGGGGGGAGACTTTTTTTGGAACTGTGCTTCCGTTTCTGCAGGAAGAAGGGCTCCCGCATGAGGATTATGTCTCTGGCACAGCAGCCCGCAGGAGTTGCAGAAAAAATCACCATGATTCCACCTCCAGTGTAGTTACTGCATCTTTATGCCCCTAAAGCCTAATCTCCAGGTCTGGATACCCCTCTCCCTCTTGGAAAAACTGGTGGGTGCCTGACCGCGGTACAGATGCCAGCTTATAGAGCTGTAGCATCAGTACGAGTTTTCCTGTCACCATTCTCTACGCGTTTCATCAAAGAGGCAACCACTTCGCAGTGCAAGTCTATTATGACCTCCCGACTTGCGCGTCTACGGGAAGTGTCTCCCTTTTCCCTCCCTCCCCCCCGATCCACGCGATGACGCGTAAGATCTTAGAAGTGTGGCAGCTTGGGCTAGTTGGTATGGACATGACGATAGTTATAGCGCGAGAACAGAAGGACGACACAGAGACAAGAAGTGTCCTTCTTGTCTTAGTGTCGTTGTTCTGTTCTCGCGCTATAACTATCGTCGTATTTCCGTTGGCCGGTAGGCGGAACATGTCCTTCCTCCCCGTCATTACCGGAGGGCGAGCTTGCTTTGTAGGGAACGTGGGGCAAGTCATCATATCAGAGACCGTTGCTCCTCCTTCTGACTATCATTCAGGTGTCAGTTGACCACGCTAGATACTTTCGTAATGTGTAACTGTTTCCTTTTTAATTTTTTCTTGTTGTGCCTATTTCTGTATTAAAGAACCATACATGCATACTACTTATTTCAATGGTATGGTAAATTTAGGAGCTTAAGCACGTTTCGTTCACAGGTGCTGGAATCAGTCATGTTGTTCACAAAATGTCCTTGCGTCGCCTCACACGGCGTGGTTTTCAACAGGAAAAAAAAAGAAAAATAAGGCGCTGCCATGGTTTGCTTGGTGACGCCGTTAGCAACGGCGGATGCTGGCTGTGAAGGCCGATCATAAAAGCCAATTCTAAGAACACAAATGCCAAGGCTGGCTTCCGCTTCATACAGGTGCCCTGAGAAGCTGTCAAGCTGTCCAGCAGAGCAACACCAGGGCTCGCAGGGTGATCAAAACAGCGCCAAGTTTCCTCCAAAACGGAGAGGAATAACCGCCTTGCTAGCCACTTATACAGATATCGACTGCTATACTAGCACGAAATACTCATTGTTTTTGTTTAACAACCTTATGTAACGCAGCCGATGGTAGCCTAACCTCCCGTTCATATTTCATGTCGTTATACGCATTTTGCATAAACCATAGCACCTATATCGAAAGAACCACCTACGATTGGTTCGTCTATCATGTGTTGGTCGTGTGTAACCACAGACATGAACAAAACAGCAGTGCGTGGCACTTTGAAGCTACATTTTCGAAATTCGACATTAACTCGCGGTGTTCGCACTGCGTGTCACAGGGTTCTTTTTTTTTTTGCGTTACGCGCAGACACTACAATCTCCCGATCCAAGTGACGTCACATCCACCACCGCCGTTCATCGTCACGTGCGCCATGTTGTGTTTTTTTTTACTAGGCTCCCAACAGCTCGACAACTCGTGCTTTCCTTTACTTCCATGTTCCTCTTCCGTGCTGCGATCCAAATAAAAGCAGAGTCAATTTATCAAGTGGTTTGCCAGGCCTCACTGTATGGCTGGAGCCATGCGATCGTCACTTTTCCGCCGTATATATCAGCCCCAGAAAGTGATGCATGCGTCAGAAACGGGGAAGCTGCCGTATAAACGAGATCCCACATTCGTTTGTCATTCGGCGGGGTCTCATCTAAGTTCCGCGCAGTGTGCGTTGCAGCATCTCATCGTCATCTCGTCGCGCTTCCACAGCCACGCGAATTCTCGCAGCTGATCACCGTAAAGAGCATAAACGCAATGCGAGGAAAAAACAATGTCAGTGGTGATCGAAGAGTAAACGAGAAAGAAGCACGTTAGCGTTGCCCCTAATTACCTGTAATTAGCTTTTATATT